TGATTCAGTGACTGGGATAATTGTCAGAGACAGTGCGATTGGCACAGGACAGAGCAGAGTTTAGGGCTGTTGTACATAGGGTCACTATGAGTTGCAAGCGACTCGATGGCACATAACAACAACAACATTGTTTTGGTCAAATCAGTTGAAAAAGACCTATTTGAAGTGTTAAAAAGCAAATGTGTCAACTTAAGGACAAAGGTGTACCTAATCTACCTAAGCCTGGGAATTTTCAATGGCTTCATATACATGTGCTTTCTTTATTGAGGATATCTTTGATGTCACCCCATAACTCATCTGATCTTTGATCATTAGTATTCAATGCCACAAATCTATTCTGGATTTTTAAATTCAAGTGGGATAGATTCAAGGTTGTATTTTCGTTCTTGTGGAGTTGTTTTAATATTATTCAGCTTCAATTTGAACTCGCACATGAGTAATTTTATGGTCTGTTCTCAAGCTAGCATCTGTCTGGTTGTGACTGCTGATATTGAGTTTTTCTTACAATTCTTTCACAGATGTAGTCAATCTGATTCCTGTGTCATCCATAAGGTAATAATGCCCATGTGTAAAGACATCTTTTGTGTCTTTTTATTTGTTTTGAGGTGTTTGTGATGAATAAATCATTGAACATACAAATTCACTTACTGTCCAGAATCATTTCTGTCACCAACACTGTACTTTCTGACTACCATTCTTCCTCATTGTTTCCAACTTTTGCATTTTAGTCATCAATAATTCTTAATACATCTTGATTGCATGCTTGTTCAATTTTGGCTTGCAAAAGTTGGTATAAAACTTCACTCTCCTCTTCTTTGGCTTAAGTTGTTGGTGCATATATCTGAATAATAGTGGAATTAACAGGCCTTCCTTGTATGCATATGGATACTATCACTCATAACACTATACTTTAAGATTGTTGTTGTTGTTAAGTGCCGTCGAGCGACCCTATGAAGGAGAGTCCTTGACGCTTGGGTGCCTTTCATCCGCTCTCCAAGTTCATAGGGTTTCCAGGGGCAAGCTATTATGGAAGTGGAATTGTCTGTTTTAACTATGAATACAACACCATTCTTCTTTTTCATTCCTGCAGTAATAGATCATGTGATTTTCTGGGTCAAAATGGCCCATGCCATATGAACAAGAGCCAATAGTAATGAAGGAAGTTCAAGCTGTACTGAAGGCACTGAGGGGAAAAAAAGTCTGTAGCAATCAATGGGAAACCAAGCAACATGTTTCAACTAGCAGATGCAGCCTACACTTGCTCACGAGCTATGTCAGGAAATTTGGAAGACAGCTGCTTGGCCAGATGACTGGAAGAGATTCATATTTTTTCCCAATCTCAAGAAAGGATGAGAAAACCCTCACTGAAATGAATTGACACCACGACTGCAGCAATGAGTGCAAATGTGTCAGAGATAAAAAGGTTTATACAGAATAGGATAAGGTTCAGATCTGTTGTCCATAGGGTTACTAAGAGTCATATTCGACTCGAGTATGTTGTTAGGCTGACACCAAACACTAAAAACAATAGCAACATATCCATGTGAAAGCTGGACAATGAATAAAGAAAACCTTGAAAGAATTTCTGTCTTTGAATTATGGTGCTGGTGAAGAATATTGAGTGTACCATGGACTGTACACCCACTACCATCCAGTCAATTGTGACTCAGAATGGCCTTCCATCAGGGTTCTGAGGCCGTCAATACTTATTGGAGAAGGCTGTCTATCTTTCTTCTATGGAGAAGCTGGTAGATTTGAACTCCAACCTTACAGATAACAACAGTAAAACACATAACTCTATCACAGAGTTCCTCGACAGACTGCCATAAGAATGAAATTTGTCTTGGAAGATGTTAGCCAGAACACTCCTTAAAAGTGATGATGGCTAGCTGTTGCCTCACATATTTGGATACATTATCTGGAGGTACTAATCCTTAAATAAGGACATTGTGCTTGATAAAACAGCAGGTCAGGGAAAAAGAAGAAAACCTTCAATGAGTGGTTGTAACATGTGACTTACACAATGATTGTGAGGAGGGTACATTCCATTACACCTTGGATCTATAGGAGTTGGGATTTTCTTGATGGCACCTAAAAGCAACAGCAAATCTTTTTCTTCATAACTCCTTGAAGGGAAGTCTGCCGTGCTTTGCATTCTTTATTATTCAGCACTGTCTAATAAAGTTAATGGCCTGTAGCAATCACTCATCTAATGCATATAGATTCGATCAACTACACGTCAGAGGATCATTTAAATGGTTTTACATTTCCATAGAGGTCCTATGTATAGTGAGGCTCTGTTGTTGTTTTTAGGTGCCACCTACTCTTACCATGTGATTTACTGCCTCTGGAAATGTGATGAGTCTCACCTGTGAATCAGCTGTGACTGGACATCGAACAGTTTACTATGTCTCATAGTGATACTGTGAGCAACAGATCAAAACACTGCCTATTGAGAGCTATCATCACAGTCTCTGCCCTGTTGAAGCTCATGTTGTAGTCACTATAGGCCCTTCAATGTAATGAAAAGTTTCTGGTTTTGGTTAAGGATAATAGGCTTGAGTATACCTTTATATATGTCAATTGTTGTTGTTATGTGCTGTTGAGTTGCTTGTGACTCATAGTGACCCTATGTACAACAGCCCAAAACCCTGCTCTGTCCTGTGCCAATCTTATTGCCTCTGACACATCTACCCCCATTAACCTAGTCACTGAATCAATCCACCTAATCCAGGGTCTTCCTCTCTTGTGCTGTCCCTCCACCCTCCCAACCAAGACGTCCCTCTCCAAGGACTGATCTCGCCTTGCAACTTATCCAAAGTATGTCAGACAGAGCTTCAGAATCCTTGCCTCCAAGGAATAGCCTGGTTTAACTCTCTCCAGCACTAACTTGTTTGTTCTCTTTGCAGTCCATGGTATATTCAATATTCTTCTCCAGAATCACAGCTCAAAGTCATCAATTCTCCTTCTATCATCCCTAGTCATTATCCAGATCTCTGATACATAGCGAGTGATTGCAAAGTCCATGGGCTGTATCGGGCAAAACCTTAGTCTCCAGACTGACATGATATAACAAAAACTCATGGGATTACAATTACATTGTTTTCCCCATTTTAAAGAAAAATAGAATTTCCTTTTTCTAAATAAGAAGAAAATGATCATAAGACAAAACCAAAGATCTAGTTTGCTTTGTAAACATTAGGGTAAACATTTGACTGGGCATTGTACATAGTTTTTAATTGGAGTTTTAAATGAGATACAATTTTCAATCTTATTTTCCTGATCCACCACACAAAATGAGAAAAAACTGTTCGTTTTTCTCTGAGTGTTAGCATCCCATGCTACTGCTGCCCTGCCCTGCACCTGGTGCTAGCCACAAGGGCAAGGTCAACAGAATAAAGTACCATCACAAGTTTTGGAAAGGAAGAAACATAATGTATGGGAGTTTTAATCTAATAATTTAAAAAACAGAAGTCATACACCCACTGCTGTCAAGTCGGCTTTGACTCATGGGTAGCCCTCCACTTACACGTCTTTAATGGGATGATACTTTCTCCCTTGGAGGTCTGGTGAGTTTGAATTGCTTAAATTCTACACTAAGTAGATTTCTTTAGAAAACATAACATTAAGGAACTCACCAAGCTGCTCTGTGTGACGCCGGATCCTTGATTCTGTGCCTGGCCTCAAGAGGGCAATGCTGCACAATCTAGAGATCTGGTTTCTGCTGGAAAATCAGCCTCATAGGTTCAGCCCCTCCTTCCGGCAGCATGCTGTGGAACTCCCTCCCAGTTGAATTATTTTCGGTCAGGAACACAGGGCAAGACAGAAATTACAGAGCATGCAGTCTCATCTGAGCAATATTTGTATTTTTATCTAAGTGAGGAAGCTTTTCCACTTTCCCATAGCTTCTATTTTGAAGAGCTTAGATTCCACAGCTACTTTTCTGCTTGCTCAGAGATCTTCCAGGGAAAAAAAGCACAGGTGTCTCCACTGCTTAACCATGCAGCTGCTGCTCGTGACAGTATTAGGGATGAATTTTGGCCTGAGTAAGTAGAATTTCAGCATGGTCTCTATTTCTACAGACTCTGAATGAGAACACTTTTCACAGTTAAGTCTGTGCGGTGTTCACATATATTATATTGATTTTGCAGGACAGATCGGAGCCCAGTCAGTGACCCAGCCTGAAGTCCAAGTCTCTGTGTCCGAAGGATCCTCACTGGAATTGAAGTGCAACTTTTCTTATAGTGGAACTCCTTATCTTTACTGGTACGCCAATTACCCCAGCCAAGGCTTCCAGTATCTCCTCAAGTACTATGCCGGGGAAACCCGGGTTAAAGGTCTCAATGGTTTTGAGGCTGAATTTAAGAAAAGTGAATCTTCTTTCAACCTGAAGAAACACTCTGCTGGCTGGAGCGACTCTGCTGAGTACTTCTGTGCTGTGAGTGACACAGTGCTGGGGCCTGCAGAGGGAGCTGATCACAAACTTCCTGAGACAATAAGGAGCACTAAGTCCATGTGAAAGATGTTGAATTAATATATAGTGGATTTCATGATATTCATATCACGTAGTATGCAAGTAAATAGGGATTTGCCGAGTCCACATAGTTGGGAGTGACAACATTTAGAAGGCTGGATATAGGAACTGTTGTATGCCATAGCAGAGTTCTATTTTTCGTTCTCCATTTTATCTTTTTTTTTTAAATTATTATTAAATTTTATTAGTTTTAGTGAACATTTACAGAGATTTTGGGGTTTCATTCATTCATTGTTGCACAGTTTTCTCTACCCTCCTCCCCAGTTCGTTCTTCTCCCACCCCCCTAATGTCTGTTTTAATTGTCCAATTGCCACAGTGCTTGTCAAAGCCAGTTCTGATTAATCTCCTTTGTCAGTGTGTCCTTTGCCATTCCCTATCACTCCTCCCTGAGAGAGACTTCACTCCATTTTCTCTTGAAGTAATAGATGGGAAAGGGTGAGCTCCTTTTGTAGGTTTCCCTCCTTCAAAACATGCCATCCTTCCAACTTGGTAATTTTGAAATATTTCTTCTCTAGTCTTTTTGCACCCTCTTCAGGACAAACCTGTTTATCCTAGCAGTCCGTGCTATATTCAATACTCTTCTCTAGCACCACGACCCAAACAGGTTCGTGCTGGAGGGGGTGAAATCATGTTGCTCCTTGGAGGCAAGAATTTTGAAGCTCTGTGTGACTGCATACTTTGCACATGTTGCAAGGAGGGATCAGTCCTTGGAGAGGGACGTCATGCTTGGGAGGGTGGAGGGACAGTGCAAGAGAGGAAGACCCTGGATTAGGTGGATTGACTGAGTGACTGGGGTAAAGGAGATAGGTGTGTCAGAGACAATGAAGTTGGCTCATGATAGAGCAGCGTTTAGAGCTGTTGTACATGGTATTGCTATCATACATCTATATCTATATTATCTATATCTATATATCATATAGTGACTTGATGGCACATAGCAATGACAAGAGTCTTCCTGGTTTTTCTGCTTTGGGTGATTTCTTCTTATTTTTAAATGCTTGATTTAGGTAGGCATTATTGGGATGAAGAGTGATGTAGAACATGGCATACTCATATGAACTTTAATAAATTACTGGGAATATTGCATAATGGGGAATGATTCAATTCCTTTGTATCTCTTTAAAGACTGCTAAGGAGAGAAGAGACACTAAATCTAGGTGTCAAATTCCACTTGTTTTTAAACAAGTTTGTTTTATTTTGTCCAATGATAAAAATAGGCTCTGGTTCTTTCCATGTTAATTTCTGAAAATTCATATAAAAATATAAAAAATTAGTGTGATAAACTCTCACATACTTTGTTGTCAGGGAAGGCCAGTCCTTGGAGAGGATATTGTGCTTGAGAGGGTAGAGGCCAGTACAAGAGAGAAAGATCATGGACTAGATGAAATGACAGTGACTGTGGCAATGAGGTCAGGTATCTTGGAGACAGTAAGGTCAGCTCAGATTCAGGATCAGAGGGCAAGTTTCATAGATATTATTCATAATAGGATTGCTGTGAGTTGTAGTTGGCTCAATGGTACATAACAACAAAAACAATGTCTCTCAAGTCTTTGAGGCTAATGAGGATTTTAAAGAGAAAAGAGGTTGAATTTTTTAGTTATGTACTTCGTGATGATAAATAGAGATTAAACTTTAAAGGAAATAAAAAATGGATTTTTTTGCAATCATTTATTTTAGGTAAAGGGAATATTAGTTGTTTTTATATGCCATTAAGTCATCTGTGACTTACAATGACCCTATGTTTAAGAGTTCTGAAACCTGCCCTCTCCTGAGCCAGTCTCACTGCTTCCTACACCCTTACCCCCCATTGCCCCAGTTACTGGATCAATCCATCTCATCTGAGGTATTCCCCTACACTCTTCCAAGCATGATGTCTTTCTCTAAAGATCTGTCCTTCCTGGCCACATGCCCAAAGAATGTGAGACAGAGCTTCAAAATCCTAGCTTCCAAGGAGAAACTTAGTTTCACCCTCTCCAAGACAGACCTATTTGTTTTTTCGGTGGTTCATGGTATGTTCAAGACTTTTCTCCAGCACCACAACTCAAAGGCATCAATTTTTCTTTCATCATCCTTCTGTCATTGTCCATCTCTCTGATGCACAGCCTATAATTACAAAGGTCATGGCCTGGATCAGGCACATCTTGGTCTCTAGACTGACATCATTACTTCTCAGTGCTCTGGAAATGTCCATAACAGCAGATTTTCCCAGTGCAATTTGTTTTGATTTCCTGACTGCTGGTGTTAAAAGAGTGTTGGTTGTGGAGCCAAGCAAACTGTAATTGTTAACCTCAATCTATTCTCCTTAATTTTTAAATCACAGTGCTAAGGACTACTAGTGGTATACACATTTGAAAGACTGCTGGAAATGAGGAAAAAAATGTAAAATTATTCTTAATATATTTGTGCCTATTTAATCTGTTTTGTTTTTCAGACTATCCTCTCTACAACTAGGTTAATAAACAACATTCTGATAAAGAAAGGGAAGATTGAAAATGCCAAATATTTCATTATATTGGAGTCAGAATAAATGACTATGGAGCTAGACATTAAAATATTAAATGATGTGTTGCACTGAATAAATCTGTTGCTAAGGCCCTCTAAGTATTAAAGGTCAAGGTTGTATTATTATTTTAAATAAAATTTTTATTTTAAATTGATTTACTTACAATGTTTATATACATTGCCTTACACAACATATCTTTCCCATTTCCTTTACCCACTTCTTCCTCTGCCCATTCAATTGTGTGATCCTGGGATTATCCCCCTACCTATCCTCCCTCCTGCTCTGCTCTTAACCTCACCCCCGACCCTTGGATCCTCATACACATTTTACTGGTTATCTTTCTATTTCTACAATAATGGTTTTATACAGTATTTGCCCTTATGGGACTGAGTTAGTTCACTTAGCATAATGCCTTCCAGTCCCTCCCAGTTTAGGTAGTGATTTACAAAATCATTGCTCCTGCATTCTGTGTTGTGTTCCATTGTGTGAATGTACCACAATATTTTTCTTTTTTTAAAAAAAATTGATATTTTACTGTAAGTTTATAAAGAACTTGGAGTTCCATTCATTCTCTGTTGCTCATTTGTTATGGGATGTTGGGAAGGAAGGGTCTCTGGCCAGGACATATTGCCTCAGCTCCAAATAAGTGCAAGCCTCCCAATGTTCTTTAATATGGGGTAGAGAAAGCTCCCCTGTGTTTGGCTGTACCAGCTTGAGAAAGTTGGCCACCTGGGAAGACGGCTGCCACATCTGTTGGTCTGGGAGTGCACAAGGCTGAGGTTCTCCTAACCAATCCACATGTCCCACATCTGTAAGTCTACCCTATCCTGCCTTCCTATTTATGTAAGTGCACTGCAGATCCCAATAAAATTGAGCTGGATTGACTCTGATCCTCTCCCAGAGTGGTGTATCTCTGTCATGCTAACTGCCATCAGGGTGTCACTGTTAAGTTGCTGGTGAACTGACAGCCACACTCATTTTCCTCCCTGCCCACCTCCCCAGATCACTTTTTTCTTTGGAAAAAAAAGTTCTTTCATTGTTATACAGTTCGTTCTCCCCATCCCACCCCTGGACTACTTTACTATGCAACTACTATTCTGAACTCTTGTCATGCCAATAATACCTATTCATATGTTCCTTTTATACAGTTTTCTTCCTCGTCTGTTTCAATGCCATGTACATTATTTATCCCCTCTTTTCTTAGTTTCCCTCAACCCCCATATCAGTTCTATTCTATAACTGACATTATACAGTATTTATCTTTTTTTGACTGAGATATTTCACTCAGCATAATGTCCTCCATGGTCACCCATTTTGTGTAATACTTCAGAGTTCTTGGTTTTTCAGTGCTGCATAATATTCCATTGTGTGAATATACCACAGCTTTTCTATCATTCATTTTTTGATGGGCATTTGGGCTGTTTCCAACTCTTTGCTATTGTGAACAAAGCAGCAATAAAGCATGCATCTGCTTGGGTGGCAGTTCTGGCTTATTTAGGGTATATTCCCAGTAGTGGAATTGTTGGGTCAAATGGTAATTTCTTTATTCATTTGATTGTGGTTGGATAATTGTAATGTTTCCATGTTCTTGCAATGGTTAGTAATGCTGCTATGAACATTGGTCTACAAGTCTCCATTTGTGCCTCAGTTCTCACTTTCTCAGCATATATTCCAAGCACTGGAATAGCTGGGTCATATGCAATTCCTGTGTTCAGCTTTTTGAGGAAACATCATTTTTATTTTTCATAAGTGCTTTGCTTATTCAGGGTTTCTTTCCTCTCCAAATAAACTTGACAATTTCCCTTTTGATCTCCTTGAAAAATGAATTTGTTATCTGGATTGGGATTGCATTAAACATGTAGATTGCTTTTGGTAGGATTGTAATTTTCACAGTAGTGAGTCTTCCTATCCATGAACAGGGCACATTTCCCCATTATTGTGTCTCAGGGGAATGTTCTGTAGTTTTCTTTGTACTGGTCTTTTCTGCCATGTCCCTAGGTAGGTTCACTCCCAAGTATCTCAATTTGTGGCTGGCTATTGTAAATAGTATTGTTTTCTTGGCTTCCTTCTCTGATTGCTCTTTGGTATTGTAGAGGAAGCCAATGATTTTTAGATATTGATCTTATATCCTGCCACTCTACTAAATTGATCTACTAGCTCTAACAGTTTTTATTTGTTTGTTTTTTTTGTTGTTGTTGAGTCCTTGGAGTTTTCTATGTATACTATCATATCATTTGCATATAGCGATAGTTTAACCATCTCTTTGCCAATCTGGATACCTTTTATTTTCTTCTCTTTTTGTATTGCCCTAGAAAGCACTTCCAATACAATATTAAATAGAAGTGGTGACAGTGGTATTCTTATCTGGTTCCTGTTTGAAAGAAAATGCTTTCAGTTTTTCTCC